TATATTCATGCTGTGCTGTGAATCATTTGGACGGAGCAGAGTCTGAACATCAGTCGTTTGGCATTAGAGAAGCTCGTTCGAACCAAAACTCGTAAAATCGTTCACTTCTTGAAACTCAGGGGATAGGATCAGTTGCCATACTTCTATCCTGATACGGGGGCTGAAATATTGGTAGCACATAACGGATGGGGTGTAAGAAGAGATTCAATTTGTTGTGCTGCGGATTGTGTTACTGTGTACACAGAGACGGCATGGCAAGTGATTTACGGATGGACGTGTGTAGCCGAGGTAAAATCCCAGTAACATTTTTTTAGTAACGGTTTTTCAGAACTCGCGCTTGAACGCGTTCATACTTTCCGTCAGCGTTCGTTTCGAGCGTACGCCACCATTTTGAGCGTTTTACGGGTAAACTCAAACTCGCGGGCAGTCGCTGCAATCGCTGGCGTACGCTCAAAACGCTGGATCGACGCCTATATTGCCGACTCGCTGGAAACAATGGTGCGCTGAAGAAGCTGTCGAAAAGAATGAACGCGGCCTTAGGGACCTACAATACATTCCAGGTGCCTGCGCTTCAGTTATTACTAGCCCACCCATATTTATACGCTTTGAGCCTATCGCACTCAGGTTGCAGCTCTTCGAAATATTTCTCGTCAGTCGCATTTTAAAAGAACTGCAATGCACGGAATATAACAATTTATGGGCTGAAGCCTCCCGTTGTCAGGACTTGCCTATAACTCAGTATTCTTGTGGTAACTATGGAGCGCAAACTGCGGCATCAAACAGCAGTTTTCATTCATTGCATTCAGCGTTCACCATTGAGCATTTAGTAGAAAGAAACTCATGAAAATGGTCGATAGAAAAATGAGAAAGGAAGTCGTGATTTTTAACCGAAATCGTGCCCTTGTTTCACCTTCTCTCGTTTTTTTCTGCCATGAACCTCTTCAGAGCATTCGTTTCTGAATGGGGTCAAGTAGGCCTGACTCTTTCGACGCGCTCATCTCGTTTTCTTTAGAGGAGAATTGTGGGTAATTAGCGTCATTGTTACACTTACGTTTCACAAAATTCCGTGTTCAGTTTGGAGTAATTGCTCCAAGTGAAAAGTGTTTGAGACACCTAGGAATTTTCCTTATTTTAGAACCGGAGTTCAATTCGAAATAGAAAGTGTACCGTGAAAATAACCACAGAACGATGCGGGTAGGCATGTAACTCGCGCCTTCCGAGCGTCAAACAGGGAAGAATTTCAAAGCAAAAAAGTCCCATTGTTTGATCAGGGACCGGCACAGAAAGGGAAGTGGGTCTCCGTTGATGAAGCTCGAAATCCCATCGCAACACTTGACGCTGCACTAGTCTTCCAATGGTGAACTTCAACCTGGTTCACTGCGAATGATGGGGCGTGTCCGCGGCTGCGTTTGACGCGCGGGCAAACCCATTCTGCACCAGTTGTTGAAGGGATAAGTTACATCGACTGATGGAAAACTACTGACACAAACGATATGCTACAGTGTTCTTCTTCGCAGAAAGAAAAAGTAAAAAAAAAACGGGTTGGCGCCGCGCCAAACGCAGCCGCGCGGGCACGTCCCATCGTACGCAGCGAACCAGGCTATCGTACCGCCTCTGAATCGGATCTCACGACCTTGACTGAGTGTTGTTTCTCCTAAGTCCAACTTCCAAACGTGTACCTGTCATTAGGATTAGTTGCACTGCTTGCGCTTCACAATATGACTGCAGTTCTTCCGTGAAGCTGGCGAGAATATTGACCGCGTCGTTGCCTTGCGCCAGTCTCCTTTGCTAAACGATCATGTTTTGACGCTTGCCAGATGGAGCAGGGCGCAAATAGGCTGGCTGTCTTCAGCGACCCGCGCTCGATATTTCGGCAGTGCAAAGAACTATGACGCGCTATCCAGGGGTTTCCTGTTTACCTCTCTTCCGCACTGTTACAGACAGAATTTCATCTTGTGTTGTAAGACGAATTCGTCTGTGTTGTAACTTCTCATTGCTTGCTTTCTTACGGCTGGTACGAAGTCAGTATATTATCCAGAATATGTAACAGGGTAACATCATAGGTGATCGTGTGAAATAAAAAAAAAAAATTTCCCCCTCCCCTCCAGGAGAGTCTCGTACGATTCATCACCTGCCGCCCTTCCTCAACATGTACACTACGAATTTCCCCACATTTTCCAGTTTCAGCCGAATTATTTCCTTCGGGGTGAATGAAGATTCAACCCAGAATCCTACACATTTTCGAATTTCCCGAAATTTGCCGTTTTTTCCACTATCCCAGAGTTTCGTTGTTGAAGTGGAGTAAGAGATTAAAGTACACATGAATCAGGAACAATCAGAAAAATTTAATATACGAGAAAATTTTTCCCCTAACGTGGCGAATTTCTCACAAAGCCTTAAATCCACCTTCGACACCCTTCCCAACAACGACAGATACGACGTCCCCCCACCACCCAGCGGCCAAGTATGGCAACTCCCAGTGTGCTTAATCGTTGCTGTACCGTGCCCGCAATTTGGTCAATGCGAGAGTGCTTAGCCATGGACTGCCCTAGTTCAGCTATTGGCCCTGTGATCTTTATGCCTTTACAGGCGAGACTTTTCGGATCGGCACATCTATCGTATCTTACAAAATGGACTGTGACTCGAAAAATGTTCCGTGGGGAGTTTTTGGATTTTCAATACACAACAGGCGAAGGCAGATAAGCGATGACGTATCTGACACTTCTGACAGTTTTAGTGCGGTCGAAGGGCCAGGATGTCTGTTGTGCAGTGGAGCGATATGACTGATTACGTACTTCGGCTATTGTACAAATATTCAGGTGCCATTGTGTAAAAATCACTTAATCTTAAAGGTTTTCTAACGCTTATCAATGTCTGATTGGCACAGCAGTCCAATGGGCTACTGAAATATTGCACTTTGATAAACCGCTTCTTGGTAAAACTCACGCGCGAGGGGAAAAAGTCGACGCTTGAATATCGTAAACACTCATGAACGTCAGGTAATGAGCAGTTTCAGGCTGCCACTCGACATCGTTGTTCATATCTAATAAGCCTTCATGAACGGGAGTTTGAACGCACGGGTGGCGATCCGAGATGGTTGAAAGGATTGAAGTATGTCGATGATCCAAAAATTCTCAACCTCGACAGCATCAATGTGGTATTGGCTCATCAGCCGTGGCTCGTGGATGGAGATTATATAACGGTTAGTATGATGCAGTTGCCTTCAACAATCTGATGCCAGGCTAAGTTCGAGGACGGGTGAGGGGGGGGGGGGCATTTTGCACTTTCGCAACTTCCTATCATCGTGCGGAGCTGTCAAGTGGAGACCTGTAAAAAGTGTGAAGCCTCGAAATGCCAGCCGAAGTTTCTAGAATCCACCTAATTCTTGTAAAGCAATGAAATACCATACAAATACGATTTATCTTGGTGATTCGACGGGCTTGCTCACTGAAGTTACAGATTTCATCACAGTGAGACGTGTAAGTCTGTGTTCATACTTTGCGTCAGCGTACGCCAGCGGTCTGAGCGTTTCGAGCGGACACCAGCGCTAGCGACTAGAAAGTATAGGTATCGATCTAGCGTACGCCAGCGTCCAGGAGAGAAGAGGATGGGGAGTATAAGGAAGCAGGTTGCTGGAGCGCGTTTCACGTGACTTCGGCGAGTCGCTGCGTATCGTCGCTGAATCGCGCGATCGATATCGCGCGAATCTGTGGTATCGCGGCGATCGATCGCGCGTATCGGATCTGGGCTGATTGGATGCGCGTGGATCGGCTCGGATACCGATTCGCGCGATTTGGATCGCCTGGGCGCCGATCCGATTCGCGCTACTGAGTGAGAATTGTACTTGCCGGAGGGGGGTCATTTTCGTTTCTATTGTTCAACTACTCAACAACAACTAAAACAACTAACTAATAGTTTGGAGGAGCGTACTAAATATCACCATTTCTCATCATCACTAATGCTGGTAGTCCTGCCTCTCAATTAGGCAGTTCCAAAACGATATATAAATATGTATTTCGACCTTTTTGTGAGTGTCTTTTATTCCGTGTTCATTATTTCGCAGAATACTGAGGTTTGGCAGAAACCGGTCTGAACGGATAAGTTGGTGTATGAGACAGTTGGAGGATGGCATGTAACAAACAAAGTCGAATACCAGTGTGAAATAAGAGTAATAGTGATTTATTCTGGAGGACTGTTGCAAAATCGGAGGGAAGGGAGAAAGCAACAACCGCTGTGTTAATTATTTCTGTCGTGGTCTTATCTTTGGAACTAAGATTGTTCACACTCTGTTGATACGTACTCAAATGCAATTCAGTGAATATATAATTCTATATTGTATATTTATATACTATTACATTAGTAATATTAATAAATAACTCTCAGATTATTTTCGATCCGTGTCCTTTAACAATTATGGAGGCGCTGGTTTATGGTAATCAAATGGAAGAAAGATAGGAAAATAGAGAGGCAGGTATCAATAACATATACGCACATAACCCCTGCCAGCAAGTACATTTCACCCTCAGTAATGCGCGATTGCTCGCGCGAGGTCCAGATCGCGCGATCCGATCGCGCGGAGTGCCAATTCGCGCCGAATCCAATGCAGAAATTTCCGTCGCGGATCCCAAATCGCGCGATTCGATCGCAGAGATCCGATCGCGGATCCAAGGCGATCCGATCGCGCGAATCGCGACCCCCAGGTCTGAACGCGGTCTGAGCGTTTCGAGCGGACACCAGCGCTAGCGACTAGAAAGTATAGGTATCGATCTAGCGTACGCCAGCGTCCAGGAGAGAAGAGGATGGGGAGTATAAGGAAGCAGGTTGCTGGATTACGCGTCGTGAAATTGTGGCATGTGCAGCTGCGCCGTCCCGCTGCACTACACCATACATAGAGATTGTATTATTCTGTGCTTTAGCAGCTGTACGGTGTGGTTGTAGCCGGCGCAATCTGGAGACGTGTAATCCAGCTGTCTACTACCTTCTACTTCCTTATACTCTCCACTCCTGGACGCTGGCGTGCGGTAGATCAACCCATGCTTTCCTAGTCGCTTGCGCAGGCGTACGCTCGAAACGCTTAAGATGCTGGCGTACGCTGACCTAAAGTATAAACACATTGAACCAGAGCTAGTGAAGAAACGAAGGTGCAAATTGCCACTTTCAGGTCGTCGAACTGCGCCCTATGGCCCTATTGAGAATTGGTTTCGTTTCCTATAGAAAATGTTTTTAGGGTCTTGTGCAAGGAGATGCTAGAACACACTGGTCACTTCATGACCTTGCGCAAGCGGTAGTCATTCTTAGTCAATGCGACTCACTGCTCTTTCATTTGTCATGACGGCAAGGTGTTGCCCATGCTACACTACCTGGTTACTATTTCCGAGACAGTACGACTTGTTCTAAGGCTTAGTCGGCTTCAGGAAGTATGCCCCTCGCTTTCAGATACATAATGTGGCTTTGTCCACAGGTGTCGTTCCATATTTTCGTACAAAGCGCATATCTCTTTAGGGCCATAGCACAGCTGCTATCAGAAAATTGTTTTGGAATACTTATGAATGAAGCGTTTTTGTGGTACAACTTTACAAGGGCTTCTGGTCGTCCATAACCAGTCCCTCTGCATCTCGCAGTAAGTACTGAGACGGGTATCGCTGGGGTCAGTTCACTGGGCGTAAAGCCATCCGAGGCGCAGAATCGCGCGCAATTCACGAATTCCTGATTTGTTGACTTGGCCCAGCTCTTTGCATGTTAGGGTATGGCAGCTTACGTAATGTGTTCTTTGCTCACCTCTTCATTTGAAAACTTCGGAAGCTGATAGGTTCCTTTTTTCTATTTGGAATTGGTGGAGGAAATAAATAGTATTCATAGTCAAAACATTTAAGTACAGGACGTGATCTCACAGTGATTTTCAAAACCTTAGAGAAAGGCAATCAAAATATTTTTAAGATGAGACAATGAAGTGAACACTGTAGAAAGTAGGCTGCCGCCGTAGTATTGATTAGACGCCCATGTTCAGTATCGAGCTAGCTAGCCAGCTAGTTCTCCTGCGATGCCGCGACTCGGATCTCCTGAATTACTCCGAGTTCAGCCTATGAAATGTTACAGTAGTGAACGCGCTTTAGGCTGTGAATATTGTAATAACTGAAACTATTTCTCGGCTTACTGTTTCGTTTCACGAGGTAGATTTGGCACTAATTGGATTAGCTTGTTGTCAGTCTGACGCAATGGAGTAGACTTTCGTGGTGCATGGAATCTAGACGATCACTGTTTACATACGTGGAAAACAAATGAAATAGGAGCACTCATTAATTTGTCTTGATCAAATGACTATGCAAATACATTGTTCGTTTACTGCATGCTCGTGAGTAAAATATCCTGGAAATATGCATAGGGCTAGTCAGAGCACGTCGTGCTTTGGGGATCTTCATCGAGGGAGTCGTATCTGGTAGCTGGAGGAAAAGAACGAGGGAGCAGTTGCCTTTGAAAGAAATTGTCGATCGCTGACTTTTCTCAGCTTTTCCTGTTTCACGTTGGTTATATTCACAAACCGCTCAACGGCAGCTTTTTTTGGGAAAACTGGAAGGTCGAAAAAACTGGAAAAGTGATAGGAAGTTGGGAGATTCATGACCTAGGAAGATAGGGGGAAGAGGGCGGATGGGTTGAAGAGGGCGAAGAAAGAGGAGTACCCAGGGGAGAAAGTTTTGGATTTCGATGAGGAAGGGTCGTATTTTGCAAAATTTCATCCCAGCGGCGAGCAATCGATTGAAATAGGTGATATGAGGAAGTCTCCTTTTGAACTTCTTGACTACTTCATAATGAAAAAAATTTCATGACATCATGTTTTTCGGCTGTAGAAAGACCATGTAACTTTTATTGTGTGGATTCTGGTCCGTTGCATATCCAAAAATACAGTATTTGCAAATAACTTCACTTTTGTGCTTTGCACGAAGTGTTTAATGCTGTTGATTTTATACCACATCACATTTTATAAAGCAATGCTTGCTCATCCTCCATTGTCTGTAGATGACGCTTCATGAGCCGGTTTTTGTTTCTGCTGCTGCAGCGAATCCTATGCATTGTTTTTTTTTCTGGTCAATTCAACAATGGTGATGATGCTTTCATACTAGTGATTCTAACTCGACTATTTCTACGATACTAAAGAAAAAAAATGGAGTTTTGATGGTTCCCTGAGCTTCATTCTTTCGAATCTTGTTTAAGTATGTAATGAGAGCTCTATTCCAAAATTTTACCGAAGACGTTTCGGGCCTAAGCTATTCTTCAGACCAACTGTAAACTTGTGCATATAGAGCCCAACACACACACGCAGAGAACTTCTTCTCGAACGGGGACATGTGCATCCTACCGAAAGAGATCGTCCTACGAACATGGGAGGCAGGGCGGGAGGGGATAGCCAGCTCACAAGGGCAGTTGGCGAGTAAATGAGGGAGCGAGTAGCCAGGGCTCGGGTAGAGTGAAGGACGGATAGGAACTGATTCTCGTAATGCACAATGTGCAGAATGGGGAAATTTGTGGCTTTACGAAAACCACTCCCTGTCCTTCCCTTATTGAGAGCCCTGGCGCTGTTTATCGAC